GGCCATATTGCTGACAAAGATGTATATAATCATGTGATAATTTTAACCTACAGGACAGGGGGACTGATTGGGCAAAAACCCATCCCAGTCCCCTATCCAAAATTATTAAATTGGTTAGAATCAAAAAAACAAAGAATTTAGGAAAGTGATTATACAAACAAACACTATTTTACAACTTTCCTCTTAACATCAGAATCCAAATGCAATTTCAGGACCACAAACCCTGCTCTGAATTGTGACCTCCTGAGCTTGGAATGAGCTGCAGATTCTCTTAATATTAATCAGCAGAGTTGCGATAGCTTGGCCACAGAGCCATCCTTACCCTAGAGGCAGGATTGTTGCAGGCGAATTTTCAGCCAACATGGCAGTGGCCATCTCTGGTCTGGGAAGATTAGTGAAAAGTGTCATTGACAATTGGTGCAGTCTTGGTAAACTCCAGATCCGCGCGCCTTCTGGAATTCAGTTGCATCATCATATCTTTGGGTCGTCGAGTCAAGATTAGCCTTGTGTACACAAGGAAGATGTGAGAATGATTGCAAGTGTTCAAGGTAGTGTGCGTGCTTCAACACCTGTAAATTTCCAATAATCAAACATTGCATACTCAAAATGTTTCTTTTTCAACAGTCAATGCTGCCTTGACATCTTGTAATTATAATAATAATAATAGTATTATTATTATTACAATTACAAAAAGCAAAATATTATTATTATCAATGAAAATCTTGTAATTACCCAGCAATGATCTGCTCTGCGTTTTGATTTCCAATTAAAATATTTATAATAACCAAAAATATCAATACAAGTAAAAAAAAAGTAGTACCTCTGGTTAGTTATTAACACCTTTTCTTTAGGAGACCCAAACCAAACCAAACAACAACACTCACGTTTTGTCATCTTGGACTCTGTCAAAAAATAAATTGTTTTTTGTTTTTCCAAAAAAAAAATTGTGTCTGTCCTACCAGAAAAAAAAACCAATAGGATAAATAATTAATGTGTACACGTCGATCATTCACAAACTTCTTACAAAATGTCTTCAGGAAACAATAAACGAAGCCGTGAAAATTACATCAAAGAAGAAAAAGGGTAAGTGTTTTAAGGATGGTGGTGGTGGTTATCGCCCACCACCTGTCATCACTCTAATTATATAGTAAAATTTGTGTCTCACATCACAAAAAAAAATTTTTTAAATTTTTATAAAAATTATGTCTGTCAACAAAAGACAAAGCAAAACAAAAATGCATCATGTCAGTGGAAGAGGATTAAGAGCAACCTCAACGTAAGTATTATTTATTGTTTAGAGAGCTATCCTAGTTTAGAGGTTGGGATCGGTTAAAAATTTGTTAGTCAATTAACCAGTAATTTTGTTCATTTTATTCATTTTAACATTATTTATTTATTTATTTGCACCACACCAGGATTAGTTTCAGCAGAAGATGCTGAATCAGTACTAATTCTGACAGAGGGAGAATCAGTTAAGGCATTTGCCTTAGCTGGTTTGGAGGTTGCCAACAATAAGAAGTGGGGAGTTCACTCCCTACAAGGAAAGCTCTTGAACGTGAGGGATGCAACAGTACAACAAGTTGCTCAAAATGAGGAGGTCCAGGCCTCGATTAAGGTCCTTGGATTGGAACAAGGTAGGACCTATGATTTGTTGAGCAACTTGGAGTACAGAAGTTTATTGGTCATGGCTGATCAAGATTTTGACAGAAGTCATATCACCGGCCTGATCTCAATGAACCTGAAGCAGAATGGGATAAGTCTGTGAATGCATCAACTTCTACTGGGACAGCTGCAAGCAGCAGCAAAAGAAAAGCAATAAAAATGGTTGATGAAGCTGGATCAACCAAAAAAAAAAAAGATGAAAAATTTACCAGTAATCTAGTTTTTTCTTTATTTAATTTATCAATTTGTTCTTTTAAACTTTTAATTCCTTTGTTCAATCTTTTGATTTCTTCATCTTTGGACTATTAATAAATAAATAAATTAATGTGATGATTTTTATTGATATAAATGATATATCATTATATAAAAATAAATGTTTTATGGTGCAGGACATCTATACTCATTAAAAACGTAGATCAGTCCAAAATTTTTAAATGATGATCTTGACTTCAAGTTTTTACTAAAGAATGCAAGTTTTTACTAATGTATATGTTTTTTATATATGTATGTATATATATATAGTAATAAATAGAAACAAGACTACCTTGGTATGAATCATTACTAGCTTTTAACATCAACTACAAACTCTTTACACAAGCAAACAATTTAGTAAGAAATGTTTTTTTGAAATGGTTAGATATTCAAGTAATTATTCATGCAGGCTTCCATTATATCTTATATATTTGCAATGTATT